CAGGGCATCTGAACGGGTATCGAGAAAGTAAACAATAGGCATAAAAATCTCCAAATAATCACACAAGTCTAGTTGTAACTAGAATTGGTTCACTGAAAATCATGCTGATGCATGTGATTCTCTCACCCTCAAAAACAGAATGCAAGGTGAAACTGCGTCACATGAAACAAATTGTCGTCCTTTGCTTCCGTGATGCTAACATTTTGTAGCTTATTTTTTATTCTCTTAACGTAGTTAGAATGAAAAAAAGCTGTGCATAATTTCCGCTAGAAAATGGAGAAGCTGAATGTCTGATCTTTATGTCTTTATATGTGCATTTCAATATGTATCATATTCCGAATAAAATAATCAATAAATTGATTTTTGAATAGTCAATTAGGAAATCACAAAATTATTCCAAAATTGGAGAGAATACAGCATTTCTCTTAAGGTGTTACATAAGTCTTCTTACACTTTGATTTTTACGAAGCTAAGTCGTAAACTTCATATTAATAGGGCCCAAGGGTATCATTCGATAGAGCAAAACAAGCTCTACAAGATGGTATGTAAAGGTTCATATCAGCTTCGACCCACCGTAAGTTTGCATCCCGAATGTGAGTCGCACTGAAGGCTCAAAATATTAGGAAAAATTCGAAAAAAAAAAAAGATTTTCGTTTTCTCATTTTCTAAATGAAGAAAAAATACAGCAACGGCAACGTATGAGTGTCTGATGTGGTGTGGAATCTGCGACAAGTTGGAGATGCGGAGGATTTTTCTGAACAAAGATATGAATTTTTCCTAATTTTTTGAGCTTTCATGCGACTCATGTACCGGATGCAAACTTACGGTGTGTCGAAGCTGGTGTGAACCTTTGCACCTTTGCAGTCGTAAGAAATTAAAGAGTAACAAGACTTACGTAACAACCTAATAATTGTTCTGCCAATCTTGCAAAAATACGATTTGAGATTTATGATGCACCGGCTTATATAGAGTTTCTCCCCAGTAAATCAACGAAGTATGGCGCTAGCAATCAATATATCGATTTTATGAGTCATCAAAGGCACAATCAAAGAAAGACAAAACTGTTTGAAATGTGGTAGGAAAACCCACAAGAAGTATAATCTGACCCAAAATTTATGATATGCCTGTTCAAATTTGTTTTTTATTTATTTGTAGAAGTCCACACTCCCTCCCCTATATTTCACTAAAGCTGCGATGTTCGCTTGATGTTACACTGCGAACATGCCTCGAGACGGGGGATAAATCAAAGCCTTTGCGTCTGCAGCTGTTTGAGAATCTGCGCGCTCTGGGGGAGTGAAGGATTGAAGCCAGCAGATGTTGGCCAAATATTTTCTTCTATTTTATTGTAGCATTGATTGCATGAAAACGAAGTTTTTTTTAAAAAGGGAGGAAGAGGTGCGAGGAGAGAGCAGGGTTAGGAAGAGTTAGGAGTTCTAAAGAGAAATGAGAGATACAAAAAAGTGGTAGATTCTATTCAAACTTTTAAATGTTCCGAGTATATCTGCTGAACAACTGCTTATGTGAATCTATATTTTCTGACTACTAACCATAAATACCACGTTTTCCATGAATTTTCGAACTTTTTTTTAGTTTATTTTTGTTTCAGTGCGCAAAACTTGGGGTTTTTTCAAGCAAATGTTAACGATGCGATTTTATCGTTGGATAATGACGTGAATGGCAAAATTGAAATTTTTCAGAGCGGAAAACTGATAGGTGATTTTTATACATATATAACCTTTGATTCAAGTGGCTTGGTGGCTGGAAGGCGGGGTTTTGTGACCTAATTAAGGCCGCTCGCGCCCGCTACGCTGTCTGCGTCTCTCTCGCGCGCGTGCCTCTGATTATTATCTAACCTTATCTAGGTCACGAAGCCCCGCCTTTCAGCAGCCAAGACAGTTGAATCAAAAGGTATCTGTACGATTAAGCACGACTAAAGTAGTTCTTTCTTTTATTTATTTTCAAAAAAAAAACAAATTGACTCTTCTCTGCAAAACTCCTTTTGTTTTCGACTAAGCCCGGAGTTCCATCTTGCAGACTTGCAGTTCTCTACAGGAACCCCTAAACGCATACATAATTTATACCCAAAGTGCAAGCCACCATAAACAAATCCTAGGATTTTTCTGGCCCGACTATTCTTTTGAAAATAAATTTGCTCCTGGGCCTTGCTATTCTCTTTCCTTTACGACGTTCTATCAGTTAAAATGTTATTTACATCATTGTTTATCTTCGCACTTTCAGCTAGCATATATGACTGTATCTTCGAAAAATGATAGTAAGTTGCATCTTCCCCTTTTTCGCTCTATTTATCGCGGATGTCCAGAGAACGACATAATAATTCACTATACGAATAAAAATAATCATGAAATAGTAATCTGAACCGCAGTCGTAATTGATGCCTACAAAAAACTGTCGTAATTTCCTAGAATTGCCATAAGTTATAATTTGTGCTATTCCCGTAACACGATATTAAAGGCGGAAACAAAATACTAAGATCAAAAACTACTTTTTAGAACATGAAGCTCACCCCACACTTTCATTACAACTTTTTTTATTCAAATTATAGTTCAAATGCAACTTATAAGCAAAAACTTTACTTGTAAGTAAAAACAAGACTGAAAAAATTGCAACTTTTTTCCAGTAGTCATTTTTAGTAATATCTTTCACTTTGCAGATTTTGACATGAACACTTGCTACTTTTTTTCTCAAAAAGAAAATCGCCACGTAAATGAAACAGATACTAAGCTACGGTTGTTCTTTCACTGAAAAAATATAAAAGAGGGACCATTAATACTTGGTTTCAAACACTGTTATATGCATGCTATATGTCAGTAAAATGCTGATTTTTATTACTTTATGGAACTAGAACTTCGAATTCATCAACCTCAGATCTGGCTGTTATGTATATAAAGTCATTTTTAGAATATTCCGATCAATTCTAAAAGACAGCAAAGATGGCTCGTTTACTAAAATAAATTTCACCTTCATAGCACTTACAAAGAAGAATTTATAACAGTTAAATTAACAAATTCGAACGCATCATAACTTAGATACAATTTGAAATGAAAAAAAAAACTGAAATACAAAATTTCAAATTCACATTTTTCGTTGTCAGTTTTGAAGAAATTACAAGCTTTTGTGAAAGTGCAGTTTCGAAGTCAGAAACTCTAGATGCTCCTGTGTTATTCATACATCTTATCCAAGCCTATTGATTAGATATTATTCTCTCTCCATCAAGTGTAAAGCCCACACATCTATCAACCATCCGACTACATAGATCAGAATCTAATCCTTGAAAAAAATCCTATCCTCTTTCAAAGCTCGCAGCCTGCTGGACTTCTATCTTTGTGCGTAATTTTTTTTTACTAAGAATACTTTTTACTCGCGTCTTACCACCTGCATGCTAGAAGTACACAAAAGGTCCTAAACATGTTTAACTGGTGCTGTTTTCCTATGCTGCAACATTTCAGGCAAGAGCAAATGCTCGAGTTTATCCCTTTTTGCTGATTTTCCTTCTGATACAAATAATCTCCAAAAAGTGGCAGGAAAGATTTAGATAGGATAGAGTTTTTAATTTTCTCAATCTACTGTTTTTTCTTTTTATTCGGGTTTTATTATGTCTCGTTATACATGAAAGGTGTCCACTTATCTGCTCTTCTTGCAAAAACGGAAAGAAATCAAAGAATCAAAGCCATTAAGCTCCGCCGCCAACAATTGGCACAAGACATAACGCTTAATGATGCTTGTTTTGTAACAGTCATCGCGAGGGCAGAGCCGAGATTTTATGATTACTAACAAAAGAGTGGAAAGAACCCCGATTGCCTCCTTTAAAACATTTCTACCTCTGGTTTACCTAGAATTTGGTTATTTTTAAAGAAAAATGTTGTTGTGCAGGGTCGAAAGTTCGATGATTGGAGTCAGTTTCAAGAGTTTGCAACTTCTAGCAAAGGTGTAAACTTGTAACTTGGACACAATTGGTAGCAGAACTACGCTTAAGGTTCAGCTAGTTAGAACAATCAGTCTTTAAAAAAATTATACAAGTCATTTAAAGGCAGTGTCCGGGCAAAAAGTCGATTTTGAGATTTTCTGCTTATTGGAGCCTATTCGCCATGCTGAATTCGAAAATCCACACTGGAAAGCGCGAAAACGGCCAAAAAGGGCTCTAATATAGGCGCGAAGGGGCGGGGTCTTTCCCACGGTGAATTCACGGTCCCAGCTTCCGCAGCGATCTTCTCGCTTCCGATTTCAGATCATGCGTTCGCATTTGGTCTGTGGAGATGTCAGGACGGTTAGCGGGTTCAAAAAGATCGCTCCGGAAGCTGGGTCCGTGAATTCACCATGGGGAGGACCCCGCCCACTTTTGATTTCACTCCTGTGTTAGAGCTCTTCTTCGCCGTTTTCGCGCTTTCCTGTGTGGATTTTCGGATTCAGCATGGCGAATAGGCTCGGATAAACACAAAATCTCAAAATCGTCTTTTTGCTCGGGCCTTTAACTCCTTATGCTTATGTTTAATTCGTTGTTTGGCAAAAAATTCAAAAAAATGCATTTGGCAAAAAGAGAAAACAAATACATGAAGAGTATGTCCTCTAATTTGAAAAAGTATTTTTGCTCCAGCAGTAAAATTGTTTTGGCAAAGACATTGTAGCATTTTATGAGATACTGTATTATACCGTACCCATCAAAGCTTACTCAATGTTTTTACAAGTGACCATATGAAAGCATAAAGTACAAACTTTACTACAACTGCCGTGCATAATAATAGCTCAACTTTTACATCGTAACCCACGAGTACACCAGAAAACATTTTAAACCCTTTTTTTTCAAAAGTTGGATCCATCTGGGCCGGGAATCTATTCTTAGGACATAGAGTAGGCTTTGTTGTTACAGCCGCACATCTCCCCCGCAGACATAGTTTTTGTGAGGAGTGAGAGAACGGGTGAAAAGGAGAAAATCGAATAAAAAGAGAAAATGTGAGGAAATAATGATGTATGAAAGAACTTACTTGAATAGAAAGTAGAAGAAATAGAATACAGTCCAAAACGCTTGCACTATGGCCGCGCCGCAGCGGTAGGCGACGTCGCGACTTCTGGACAGTGTCGTTCGCATGTCGTGCTCTCGTCACGTCGGGGGCACGACGGAACCACACAGCGCTTCTAGAGCAGCAAGGGTTCGGGTCCGTGCGTCCGTCCGAATCGCCGAAGAGGCCGTCGATTGCGGCTGTGTGACTGTGCGTGCGTGGTGCCGTGCGTGCTTGGGGCTTGTCGGGAGCCGCCTGAGTCCGTCCGTCCGTCTCAGCCGCCTGCTTCGTGTGTGTGTATATCTGTGCGTGTGTTGTGTGTGAGGAGTGAGTGTATGACTCTGGGCTCTGGATCCTTCCTCCCCTACCCCCCCCCCCCCTCCCCCCACACGGGTTGTGCTGCTGCTGCTGCCGACTCCGGGCTGTTCCAGTTGTAAAACTCCCTGCCGTTGTCGCCAGCGCTCTGGCCATCTTCCCTCGCCTCGTGTGTGAGAGAAAGGCGTTCAATCATAACCGAGGAAAAACCACTAGCAGTCTCTTCTCTAAAAATTCTAGAAATTTCCATCGAGTAGTAGTAACTCGAGAACAGCTGCCAAACGCCCTTTCGTCGTGGAAGAGAATAATTTTAGCAAGTTTACAAAGGTCTCACAATTATCCAACGAATCCAATCTCTAAATTAGGCCTTACCTCTATAAACTAAAGAAAAACTAACGTAGTAAACGTATTAAATTATAATAAAGTCCCAAACTGTATCCGCGATTCTGCCTCTCATTCGTTGTCGCCGCGACTCGTAGGCATTTTAGCGCGTCGCTGCAGTTAGTGCATTCTCTGTGTGACTAATTCAGTTTTCTGTGTCAGTGCAATAGCTTCAAAACATGAGATCGTGACGCAAATGAGAGGAAGAAGAACAATCATGAATCCCAACAGTACTCATATTATTCAATTCTGGAATAAATATTTTTGATGAAATTTTAGCGTCTTTTCAGGACCCAAATAAAGACACCCCTTCTTATTTTTCTAAACAAGGTGTTTCTCGTATCCTAATTTGAGCTTTTTAGCAGAGCTAATTGTTAGTATACAGTCTGTTTAGATACGGTGTGTCAAAATCAAGATCAGCGCTTTGCAAGCTTCGCGCATGCCGCGAGCAAATGCGTTGTATCGTGTCGGGACCATGTCTGCGTCTCAATATTGATTTTGTATGACGAAATGCTAGGCTTGAGCGCCGCGTAGCGCAAGCGTCTGGAATTCAGTTTGGGCTAAACTTTGTTACTGCTAATGTCTTGCAAGATGTGTTTATATCACACAGTAATTATGTAATTGGTTTGCTGAGGGCAGAGGGAGAAAATGGTGAAAAATTTCTGAAGTTGGAAAAGAGCATTTCTAGGCAAGCATTGCATAATACATAAATCTTACAACTAATGAGATATTCTGACATAATTCTATACACTAGAAAAAAGTTTACTGCCAGCCTTTTGTTGAGCTCATTCTGTATAATAAATGCTTCTCGTACACACATAATTTCAATTTCTCAGCGTACAAACTTCTTTCGTAGCACAATTTTATGAGTCTTCTCAGCGCAGCTATAAATTTTAAAAAAATCGCAATGGTGTAACGTTTACAGATGCTGGCCCATAAGCTTATTTTGCTTGTGTGTCCTAACAGATGTGAAGTTTCACTTCAGTATCTGCAGCAGCGATTTTTCCCCCAAATCCGCTGCGATATCGCTGCATCCGAGACGTTTTTTTTTCAGAGCAAAATTAGTGCTATAGTTTGTCTCGTAGATTTCTTTGAATAGACAAGCCATGCACCAATTATACATCAAGATGTCTCAAACAGTCGCACTGCGATGTTCACGAACATTACAAAACCCTTTCATTCCATACTGATTCTTTCCGCCTTTCTTATGTGAATCGTCTCAGGGCGTCTTTATTCTGAGGCAATAATAATTCTGAACTTTGTGATTGTATTATACTAGGTTGGTCCGAAAGTTCGTTCGCACATTTTTGGAACAATATCTGTTTCTCTGCATTTCGATGGATTTTCTCATAACTATGCAAGGCGATTTACAACAGCACCTTTGCCGCGATCAAATCTTTATGGATTGAAAGCAAATGTAGAGAAATTCAAACTTGCATTTTTAGGCAAGGTCACTAGGCTGGAAGTGTACATCAGTATAAAAATAGATATTTTTATACCTTAGGTCTCGGGCAGAGTTCACGCTATTTGATCGTCGCGATTCAATCGCGACAAGACAACTGTTATGAGTTCATTGCATGCTGAGCAGCTTGCGTTTCTGTTGTGATACTTTTCCAGCCCGAAATTTTTGAATGTAAAATGAAAATGAATGGAAATCGCGGCGATTGAATCGCGACGATCAAATCGCATGAGCTCTGTCCGAGGCCTTGGGCTTGCAGTTTACATTCATCTTTAATCTCAAATTCTACCGGTCAATCCTCTTAATTTATTTTTGACTCTAGTTTGCTCATATCAATTAAATTCGTGAGTACTGCTGTTTAACGAGGATTTCAGGCCATTGAAAGCGACATTTCGCCTCAGAAAGAAAATCAAAAAATCCAGAAACTTTTGTACTGAACTGATCGAAGTCGCTGACTTTCTACATAAAAATTGCACTTCACTGTAATGCTTCTTTCATAAGTTATTTTATCTTTAGGGTAACAACTGTTTTTCCAGTGTTCGTCAAAAACGTGATTACACCACTAAAAAGCTCGAAAAACTGGTAAGAAGTCGTGTATCGAAATCAGCATTTCTTAAACCCTTGCTACACAATTTTCCAGATTTTTTTTTGGATTTTTTCTATCGAAAGGCCTGTTCCGCACTGAAGCTATATGCTGAAAGTTCATGTCGTAATCTAACAATAATAAAGAGCAACCACGCTCTAAAGAATGTTATCTACCTCAGCTCGGTAAGAGACGTGAAAACAAGAGAGTTTACGATCTAACAGTGTGCACATCTTTTTGGGACATCCTGTATATGCTACTTATTACAAAATTGACTGGTCTCACTGAGATGCTGTATGGCTAAAGTGATTTACATGACCAGATATCGAATACTGTTTCATTTCACGTCAGATTCACCACATCTTATTTTTGATGGATCTCTATAATTTTGACTTTTTAGAAGGAACAAAGAATTATATAAAATGGGCAGAAGCTTCCAGCTGCGTTTATCCAGCTATCCAGCAACTTTGATTTATCTTCTTCACAAGGCTAGACAAAAGCTCAAAATGGCTTTATTTTCATTGACTTATCAATAAATTACTTTTGGAAGAAATTGAGCAGGGTAAATCCATGAATTATGCGATATGTTTGATATATTGCGTCACCTTTTTATGCAACTCAAAATCGCATGGCGACGGACGTTTTAGCCATAACCTTTCTAAAAAAAGTAGCGTAATATGGAATTGTTTGCATCTACATAGCTAGTTACTTCAAAAGTTTGAGCAACCTTTTGGAATGGGTAGGTTCAAACAGGATAGTGGAGTTTTTGCAAATTATCAACAAATTCCGCACGTTGCTCTCAAAAATAATGTTTTCGGCTTGTTTATGCCACTGCAGCATCTCATTTTTGAGCTTGTAGTCAACAATATTGAATTTCACACTTTTTGCACCACGCATAACAAAATGTGGCCATTTCTTTCCGCATGGCTTTGGAATCAGTGTATCCATTAAATCGGAATCCCATACATCGCTAAATGTGTGTGTTTATATGTGCCTTGGATGTTTATATTGTACATTTTGAAGGGAAATCATTGCAAACATTCTGCAGCAAACTTCAAATATGCACGAGGGTGGAGTCTGTTCCATAGTCTTTAGATCATTATTGAATTGATTTTTTCCAATATTTGCTTCATAGAAAAACATAGCTGGACATGTAAGGGTCAGTCGATGACAAATTGTTGCCTAATGAGTGGAAAATGAAGCATTTTGTATGCTTTCCTAAACTGCTAATTGTTATATCTCTAGAGCTTCTTCTCTTCCATTATTGGTATTGGTTGAGGATTCTTGTGAATCATCTGTGGGTTAGAAAACTCTTAAATGTAAATAATCTTAGCTTCTATAAAAAGGTATAGCTTCAGAAATATTTCCGGAAAAGCCTTTAATAATTGCTAGAAAAGCTTCGCAAAAATTATAATAGCTTCGAAATGGAGGGCGTGGCTTTTTTTATAAAAATACGCGGCCAGGGCTCAGCAGGGGTGGCGCTTTCACACATTGGATTTGTTTTTTTGTGGGGACAGCATAAGGGAAATAGTAAAGTTTCCAAAGGCGCCTCCCGGATCTGACAAAACATTGGCACAATCCTTACTCTAAACCCAAATTTTAAGCTTTAACGTCATTTTACCAGCTACAAGTAAATTAACATGTTCAAACGCGATTAGTACATAAACTTGCACACGACTCAACGTGTTAAGATATGGTCTTCAAACACAAAAAAAAATCAGTTTGTGTATTAAGTCTAAGCAATATTGAGCCACCAAATTTGGTATATAGCTTTGCGACGATTTTCGAAACAAAAGCATGAAAAATTACGAAAAGATTAATTATGTGAAGTAAAGGAGTTGTACATGTTTTTCTAATTTAGGTTGCTTCCGCGCAACCTGGGAGCACCCTGAGGTACGGGACCAGACAAAGTCATATTCTACCCCCTTCCTCACATAATTTTTCAAGAATTTCTACATAAATCTGTTCTTTCGTCAAGTTCTACCTATAAAAAACCATTTTGATCCAAGTTTCGTCTCATCTGCTCTGCTATGGCCTTCAATGATATAAAAAACCTGTTTTTTTTCGACTTTTGATGTTTTTTATTCATTGTTCGTTGCACATCAGCCCTACTTCTAAAAAACCTCAAAGGGTTGTTCGTAAATTTCTGCAATGTCAAAGGAGACTTCGTATCCATAATTCTCAAATGCCACCTCGTGCTGGGCCCTGAACGTGGCTAGTACATTTTCTCCCCAAATTTTGCGTTGCCCTCCTCCGTCCGAAAAAAATTTGTAGGACCTTGCCCTGTGGCAGTGGTGACCCATTCCGTTCGAGGGAGGGGAGGGGGACGACGAAATTCTTCTCTCCGAACATTTTTTGGTATGCTTCCTAAAATTTTCGCGGGCTCTCGAAATTCCAGAAAGGGGGGCGTGAATGAGTTTCTGAGGATGTTTAAAAATTATATTAATTAGTTGCACATATAAACAAGTTACTTGCAAATTCTTATGACACATGTAAGGAACCTGTTTAAACTTTCACGACCCATACTCCCCCCTCCTCCCTCGGTACGCCACTGCCCTGTGGACTTGCATCACCCTTACACAGCTGTACTAATTCTTGCCATTGTCAAGAATTGCACTTACATCCTCCTTTTGACTGCAGGGCATCGCGAGATTTCTTATTCTTTCAACCAAGTCCGTCCATTTTGGACCACAATGCTGCTCCTTTGGAAAGTGCAACAGAATTTAAAGTCTTGTGATCCTTCCACCTTCCTTACCCCATCCCGCCTCCTCGTGAACGAGCTAACAGGTACTAAAAATCAACTAGTTCAGCCCTTCGAATGTTTGACAACTTGTGTTGGTCGCACAGACCAACAACTGTCAGTACGGCACATTAGAACTCTCTGTCTAATTTTAAACTCTCATTTCTTGTGCAGCCGCTCGCATGCAATGATTAAATGTCGCTCGCAGCTGCATCGCCAACAGCTAAACTTCCACTAATCAACATCACTTGCCTCAGTTCTCTTTATGTGAGTTTCGTGCCTTTTCTTGCTTTCCGCTTAGCTCAGAATTACTCGATTAGAGTCGATTTTTGTTGTAAGCATCCTTTATCATCAGATCATTATTTCATATCTCTTAAGTAATGGTAAAATCCTAGTCATTTTAACTTAATATGTGAGTCTGCACACTATGTGCGGTAAATGACGACACCACTATCCGTAACTCCTAAGTAAAACCTTTCCTAGCGTAATAAACTTTGAAAATATGTCCTACTAACTGGTCATATCCAATCAAATCAAAAAGGACAAGGAAACAAGGAGAAATCACTAAATATGATTAGTTTCTAATCTTACAAGTCGTCAAATAGCGCGTATGGTGTGCAATTCGCACTTAAATCACGAATGGCTTGACGATATTTAGAGAATGACCGCTCAAATTCTGCAAAAAAATATTTCTCTTAAAATAGTTGCTCTTGCTATCTACACTCCACCAAAATGCTTATTTTGTAAGATTTCAAACTGGATCTGTTGTTAGTGCATCGGGCTACCGTAACCTGAAAGCTTGCGATGGGGTTACGGTGGGATGTTAGCTTCGCCCTAACAAGTATTTTGCGTACAAGAAGCTTACTCTTATCGGTCGCAACTTTCTTGCAGTGTGAAGAGTTATACTGTAAAGATTACGGTAGGCGTACCATAATCTTTCAAGCTATTGGAAATCTCGAGGTTGTTATACGATATGTGGATTGAATTCATGTTGGACCATTAATATCTTACCGTAGATCCATCGCTCCTCGACTGATTATGGTAATGTTGCGCATCCCTAACACTTCGGGAATTAGATCGGAAGTTAAGAAATGTTTGACCCGGTTTTTTTGATGAAAATTCGTATAATTGGAAGCAATCATTTATATGCAATTTACACGTGCTCAATTACAGCGCCTCGCACCAATGGCAAACAAACTTTCAGCTTGTTTTTTTTTGATTGTCCATTTTACTTCTATTCCCCTCTCATTTGCTTTTTGTGTAGGCAGTAGTTTCCAGACTGCAGATGAGCCAGTTTTTCTTGTAAATCCTTTCTGCAGCATGCGAGACTTGTAATCTCATAGCTTGTTCAAAAAACTGTGCAATGCGGAGCTCAGTGCTAATGCGTATTCGTTGCAAGACTTTTCCGTGGGCTACGTGTTTAACTTGTAAATGTTCTGTTTCTGCATTGGTGTAACAAGTAATAACACCTTAGGTATCCAATAGGTTCGCTGCGCACCGGCGCGGTGCGGCCAAAGCTCTGCCCCGCGCATTTTTTTGATTCATTTTCGAGTTAATTCAGTTGTTAAGAAGTTTAGGCAGGAGCAGAGTTGTCTAGCGATATTCCTCTTTTTTGTCAAGGCAGACAATAAAAATACATTATTTTTCAAACGAGAATGAAAAAAGGAGCTTATTTGCTGGCATCGGAAATTGTTACTTTTAATCTTCACTTTTCCCTAAATTCCAAGAATTGAACCGAATGCTTCGAAAAATGTTGTGAGTAATACAATCTGCTTTGAAAAAAAATCTGCAAGATGAAACAGCAAGCTCTCTTGCGAAGAAAATATTCCCCCTTTTTCCTGGTATAGGAAAAAGTGAAGCTTCTTGCTTTTTGAGCTCTTTTTAAATTCCACAAAATTTTATTCAATTTGCCTTTCTTGGAGAAAATCTGGTAACAAAACCCAGTTTTTCTTTGCAAATTCCAGCAACTTAGGCCCTTCGTCTCTATTACGTTGGTTTCCCGTTCGTCTACTTTTCTTCCTAAATCATCCGTTCCAATTTTCGAATTTTCAGAGCAATAATGCAAACTTTCCTCTAAAATGTTTCGCCGTGGAAGCGCTAGACGGAAAAGAAGCGCTAATCCGCCAGCGGAAGTGCTGGCGCCACCGTCATTTTCACCGCTTACCACGAAAATCTATGTGATCTATGGCGATTCCGAAGGTGAGGATCTCAATTTTATATTTTATTTGAAGAATTCCGTTCTGTTCTCAGAATTCGCCATGGAGCGACAAATGCTCTGGATGGATGTGTTGCCGGAGCTACAAAGTTTTGCATTTCATTCTGGATTCGATATCGAGTGGATAGACCCATTGAGTGAAAGAGGAAAGCTATCCGAGGCCATGGTTGATAGGATCATGGAAGGGCTAGAGGCAGAAAACAGCTGGCTAATTGTGAGTTTGTTATGTCTTCACATAAGAGTGGTAAGTGAGACAAACTGGCGCTATAAACTAGGATTACGGTAACGAGGTTCTTTGAGAAAAAAATACAAAATAGGGGCGTTTCTGAACTTTTGTCGAGTCGCAAAATCTACGAAAAAGATTTATGAATCTTGTGCATCAACACTTGTGATTTCTTATCATTTTATTACCCTGACGCAAAATTGCACTTTTTGAATTCCACACAGGACCCGTACATCGCGTCTGCGTTTACTCGCGTCTGCGTTAATTAATATTACGATTTAGTGCTTACTGGGTGACAAATATGGCAGCATCGGTCCACCGAGTGAAATGCTCAAGGAAGAATTTGAAGCAGTACGTGCAGCCGTTTTCGAGCAGAGTGCAGGTGAAGGGTTTTTTCAAACGGTCCTTTTGCACCGTTACAGTATGCTGCCGCAATCAATTGAGTAAAGTGGTATGCAGTATGCTCTTCGTTCGAATTTTGGAAGTAGCGTTTAGTCAATTTTGTGGCGCGGTGCCAATTCTTGCTTCTCAGGGAAAGTGCGAAGTTACGGTAGCATACTGTATATGTGTGCAGAAGAGCTCATGTTTATCTCATTTCGGGAGGAGAGTATCAAAGCTTGGAAAAAATAGGAATGATTTTGCTGTTGAATCAATAGTTTTTTTATTTAGATCTCAAATTGCTGGATCAACATTATGTGCTCGATCGAACCGTTATGAAACCCCAATATCGGCTGAACACACCCCTCGAAGACGAAAAACTGCGCTCAAAACTGGCCAAAGTTGTCCAAAAAGGGGCGGAGAGTGTGAGTTGTCCGCAAATTCAAGATCTCTATGATAGTACCTCCATATTTTAGGCCTACGATGAAGGAACGATGAATCAGGTGAACTCAGACAGGCAAGAGCGATTTTTCTGGTCCCCGGTACATAGAGTAGCCAATGTGGCGCTAAAGCGAAATTCTCGATGTACGATGGTGCTGCGCAAGTTCGACCGTAAGTTTGCACTCTGGACGAGAACTGGTCCCCACTTCATCGAATATTCACAGATGTCCGCCCAGATACCGGCATGAACTCGACATTCTGTGACAAAGTACCGGAGAAAGCAGAGAAAATCGCTCAACTGAAGAATGAAGTTAGCGCTAAGCTTGACTCGAAATTAGTGTTCTCGCATATTTTCACCCCTGATAACGGAGACATTGCTGGTTTCTATACTTCAAGAGAAGGTGACAAGTACAGGGATACTCTGCTTAGACAGGTACGGATTTTTTTGGAATTAAGAAAGCAAAAAAAGTTGTTGGAAAAACTGGGGACATTGGCAGGGCTAGAGCGAAGATATATTGAAGCGAAAATGAGCAGATTGTTGTAAAACTGCGAACAAAAACGGAAACACATACTATATCCTCGTATTCCAAAATTTTCCCCCCGTAACCAAAATTTGTTCAGCTGCGCAACCACTTTTCCCTTTGGAAGTCCTAGCTGCCAAATTAAATGATCAAGAAGTCGAATAGGTTATCGGCTCGGTTAAAATTAGGATCTGCTCGCTCCCCTTCCTGTCCCCTCCCCCCCCCCCCCCACAAAAATTTTGAAGCTCGTGTATTTGTTGCATCTTTCATTTCATACTTGAACTTCTTGTCTTAAGGAAGCCACATCTAAACTGACTCATTTTCTTTCTGCTAAGAATGGGCGTGTCCTTTTGTACTTGTATTTTGTTGATTGATAATTTTCGCAGAGGATTTACAGTTGTCAAAAGTAGCTTTTTCAATCATGCTTTTGCATCCTGGGCTACAAGACTGAAAGTAAACATGGAAAAGCAGAAATATGTTCTTTTTCCTATCGAACACAATTTTTTTAGATTTTGGAACGATTGAAAATCCATTTGGTTCTTCTTCATCCAAATGTCCCTACTGCTCCCCGCACTGTAATCGACATGGCTTCAATAGATTGCGATTCACATCTATGTAAGCCATCTGTTCACTCTTTACACAAATCATTAATTACCGTAATCGTTCATAATTCAGATCGCTTGCAAAAGTGCACAAGTCATTCTTGGCATGCTCGCGAAGGTGTGGATGAGAAACTCAGGGTATGTTGCCCACGTACTAAAAACCTTTTTTCTTGAAATTGAGTTGTTTTTTAGGAATTGCTTTTTGCGGCATCACAGGGAGGTGTTTTCCTACTGCAAGGGCCGGAACTTTGTGGGAAAACGAGAGCTCTGTGCTATTTATATGAGCAAGTACCATCGACAAGCTTCAAAATAATCAGGTTAGTATCTTTACGTAATTTTAGGGAGAAAGGGGGGGGGGGAGTGAGGTCGGAGGTACTACCAATGGAAAACTGAATTTTTCTGTACAGCTCTGACTCAGGTTAGAACTACATTTGTGCCCTTTAGCATGATGTTCGGTACCTAATGCTCCTCCCCTTTTTAACAAGATGATTTAGGTTTGTCGACCTCACTTATTCGTCCGTTTTCGCCCATGAAGTCTGGAGAAAAATCAATCTACAACTTTGTAAACTGACCGATCAGAAGCCTAATAAAATACTTACGGTAGGTTGACCTATAACATATACTTCTTGTTCGCTGTGGGACCGCCGGGGCTAAACTTTTTTCAGTCGTTCACGCTTGAAGAACAACTTGCGTTGTTCGATGAGATGCTAGCAGATCTCGATAGAATGTTGTATTTGTTCCTTGACGATGTACATTTGCTCAAATTTGGCCCGTTTATGAGCACTATAGAGAAACGGGTTAGAGAGGTAAGCAGCCGATTACTGATTTATTGATTAACGCACAACCATGTAATACTTCAGTCTCCTGGAATGCTTGCCATATTTATGACCGCCTCAAATGTTTCGCCCATATCCACTTTGTATACAGTAACCCAGACCTTTAATATCGATGCTCCCAACGAAAATGAAATCATAGAAATAATCAAAAGAAGCGTAAATGATAGAGTCATCAGCAGTGAACAGTGGTCCACTATCAAGCAACAGGTTAGCTTTGGCCGTGGAGCAAAGTTCGTCCTTGGAGCACGTGTTACCGGTGTATTTTTAGCTAACTGGCAGCAATCAAAGCATTATCGTAGGCAAAATATTGCTCGATGAATTATTGCTGAGGAGACATGGTGTTATGACCGGGGGAGTACAAGGTAAGTTAGTGATTTGATCTAACTTGTGGGCGTGGCAGGACTTCCTAACGTCAAATTATGGGCGGAGCAATTGATCAAACTTACCACACCCTCTTGTATAAATGGTGTCCAGCAAGCTGATCTTTTTCAAATGATTGAAAATAACTTAAGTATCATTCGCGTAAATTTTTCGCTGTTTTTCAAACGTTTGGTCAAAATTTCAGGCACATACTTGTTTTGAGAAAAAAAATTTCCTTTCCTCTTTCACCAAAAATTCTTTTTTCAAAACTTTCTTCATCTTATCTTACTTTTCCTGTCAGGTCGTCTCGAACGGATTGAAGCTGAACTTGGCGGTTTGCCAGTGCAAGCTTTCTGTACATATGTCGTACTGGCTATGCATGGTTTGACTCGACTGGAACTTTACGACCTTCTTTCGAGCAATGCCGATTTAATGACTAGATTAGGCGTATCGGCTGGATTCCCACCACTCTTACTCGATCGGATTATAGAAGCTTTAGGTAAAAAGTGTCCACCTTGTGGTAAGTAACTCAGCGATAAAATTTTTCAGGTAGTCTACTACGGGTGGATTTTATCGACGAAAGAATTGTCTATCGCCTCAGCCATAGCTGTTTGAATTCGCTGTTCCGAACAAGGTAAAGTTTATTTACAACTTTCAAGAAAATAAAAGGCAAAGTCGAGAAGCAGAAGTTTTCAAAGAATGAGGTTGCCTGTAATAACTCTTACCAGATTTCTGTGTTCTATTATCTTAGCTCTCAAAAGTGGAAATTTTTTCGTTATCACTTCTGTTTTTTTCGAAATTTTTTGTATGTCTTGAAGTGATGTAAAAGGAGAGTTTTGTGCAAAAAAATTTCTTTTTCGATTTTTAATAGATCTGAAACAACAAGAGAAACGTCCATCATCAATTTCACCGTATACTTTCCCAAATACGGATGATAATATGGCTTGTTCAGATACATCACAAATCTCGTCGACCTAAAAAACGCTCATGGAGAAATTGCTGATTACTTTGGCTCTGCCACGGCTGCTGATGAAAACATATCACCTAGGAAAATCATTTCTTACCAGGTGAATAGCCTTGAGCCATTAGATGTTAGATTTTTAACATCTGCTCTATTGCAGCCATTTCCCCAGCTCATGAATCGAGAATGCGGTCTTTGCAATATTCGACGCCTTCATAATCTTTGGTTTCATCTGCTTCACACTGGTCAGAAATAATGCGAAAATTTGTAAATAAACTTCTGAAACCAAATTTTTAGGTAACATGGATGCACTGAAAGAGTCAACATTGTGTCAGTTTGAGTTCATCGACAGCGCTGTTCGCTCTTGCGGTATGGTGCATCTGCTATCGATGTACGAAGAATGCGCCATGCAAGTGATCCACCATGATTTGCAAGGTAGGTCGGTCCTGCAGCGATACTGTGGTCAGAGGATGTCAAATCAATTAACCACTTCCGAAGAAATTGCGTGACAAACAGATCAGTCGAGTTATCGCCATCAGTCTAACCTTTTAACTAAGAATGGCGAGTGGTACGGTAACATGAAGAGCACAGGGTACGGTAGTATACGGTAATCTGTGCAGAATGGTGTGAACCTTCCGAAGGACCTGTTGCAAGCGAACCACACTGATTTAAGCTGCTGATTATTTCTTGTATGCAAAAAGAAAACGTTGGGGGAATTGAAACGGGAGAATATTGCTAATAGTTTAGAACAATCGTAAAAACTTGGAAAAACATTAGACATTTCCTACTCTTTTCTATTCTTTTCCTCCCAGAATCTCACCCAACACTTGTATTTTCTTATGTTTTGGTGCACTTTCGTGCAATTTTATAATCAAATAGATAAACCATAAAATGCATAAATTATTTACTTGAAAATAACTTCTTACAAAAGATGAGCAACTTGTTTAGTATCTAGCTATATTCAGTGCTGTGCGAACAAGTGCTGATCCCAGCAATACCAACTGTTTTACGAGACCACGAACAACTTGGTGCAGAAGTTATTGGCAGGCTGCGGTATACTAGAGGTACTATAATACTTTTATTGCTTTGTTGGAGCCTTATCTGGTGCTTTCAGCTGAGAACAGCCATTTCCTAAATACACTGGTTGAGCAGGCAATGACTTGGGTAGACAACTACACTCGACAACCATTGCTAGTTCCGTTATCATGCTGGATAGCTCCACCGATAATGAAGAAGTGCAGGACGTTTACCATCAAGGTGAGCCTTGATGGCTCTTTGGGTCCCGTATTCAGAATATAAGTTGAAGGACTGGAAACCCGGCCAGACAGTGCTCGCTCCCACCTTCAACCATCAACATGTCCTGATCTCAGGGAATCAGTCAGCTGTTGGTGTGATCTACATGTACCATATAGCCGCTCAGTCTCTTATGACTACTTTCAACGGTGAGTTTTTACAATCAAATTTGCCAAAGTACTTATAAGCTGAGTTTCAGGACATACGGGAAATGTGACATCGCTATGTAGTAGTACAAGCGGCTCATTCTTCGTGAGCACGTCGGTAGATAAGACAGTCCGGATATGGAGCCTCATGAATGTAGGTTACTCACTTTTGTTTCACCATAACGCCTTGAAATTCTCACGGAAAAAAATAATTTCACACTTTTCTAAAAACTTATACTCTGCCCTTGAGCTCGTCAATACGTCGCAAATACATATACACTCCGCAAGGTTATTGGTTGTCATAACTTTCCAAGTTTCCGAAATTCCAGTTCCAAGAGAATTTCCGATGTAAACAGTGCTAGAACATCCTTGGCAAACGCTCATCTTCTAGGGCGATTGCCTCCAAGTGCTTACGCCTCATACGCACAAAATCACTTGTAGTACTTTGGCCAGTGACGATTCATTTCTGGTCACCGGTTCAGCCGATTCATCAGCAAAGGTGAGTGCATTGGCAAAAATGTCTGGTTTTAAAAAATACGTAAATGTAGTTTCAAACAAGTTCAGAAATCAAGCTGAAGTTTGTATTATTTTTTCCGTAAAAGTTAGCTTATTTCTCCTCCCCTTGGAAAATCCATATTCCAAGCAGCCTGGATTTGTTTTTGAAGATGGGAAGACTTTGAACGAATATTTCTTGAAATCTGAACAGAAAAACATATCGTACGGGCTCATGCTACACGTTTTACTTTCTCACAACTTATCTGCTTTTATCTGTTTTTTTACTATTCTTGACACTTTTCCTCAAAAAATCACTTAGGTTATCGACGTCGAAAGTGGCGAGGTGATGATGTCGTTCACGGAACATACCGGTAGCGTCGTATCTCTACAACTTACAACCAATAACGAATTTCTCATATCAGGTCTGTCATTTTTCTCAAAAAAACTGGTCCCTAAAAAAGCTCGAAACGAAGAATACGATCCAATTTTTCAGGTTCTGGTGATTTTATTGTTCAAATGTGGTGTCTAAAAACGGGTCGTTGCATTTCTAGAATGGGTGGTCTGATGGCACCCGTTAGTTGTCTTACAATTACATCGTAAGTTCGTAAATTATCTCTTCTCGTAAAAGTATTAACTTTATCCTTTTTTAAGAAATGATGCCTTTGTTGCTGTAGCTTGCGAAGATGAGACATTGCGCGTATTTTCTACTGTATCCGGACAAGAACTGCACGAATTAATGGGTCATGAAGGACGGGTATGCCGAAGCTCCCTCAGTAAATTTGTAGCCGCAATCAAGTAAAATTTCGATGAATTGCAGGTCAATGCTTTGGTTTGTGCTCAAGATGATTGTCAGTTATTTGCCGCTACAAAATCAAAAATTTATTGCTACGATATTCATAATGGTCAAATTGTGGACACACTGGATTGTCAGTTACCGTATCCTGTCTTCAATATAAAGGTAATTTCGGAATATTTAAGTGTAAAAAAGGTTTTGTGCGGTGGATTGAGGGAAAACAAGCGAGAACTGGTCCCCACGCTTCGTTTCTGGAATGAGTATAAAATTAAGAAGTGTTTTTGCTTGCTCATGGAGAATCATGCCCATTGTCCATTACAAACAATGCATGGCAAAAGATTGGGAAAACTGGTCCTCGGCGCGTTGTCGCACCACGCATGCTTTATCTTCGTGTTTTTTTTTTGTTCACAGTACAGCAGTGAATACAATAAATACACATCACTGTAGTTGAAATAAGAAGTGGTTACTCTGTAGAAAAAATCTTGAGCATTTTTTGCGTATTTGAACTTCCCTCTGTCTCGCGCTTGGGAATGCTCCGCCCCTTTCCACGCCCATTTTTAGCTTTCACAACTTTTATAATTTCACTTTCAGATCTCATCTGATAACTACTTTCTATTCTCTGGATGTGGACCTCGTGTAGATGTTTGGAATATCCAAAAACGGATCCATGACGCTCCTGACGATGCGGAACACATGGGTTTTGTCACTGCCATGTGCTTGAGCTCGGATGATAAGGTTTTTCTTGGTTTTTTTCCTTTTAATTTTTTTTTCGTTTTTTCGTTTTTCGTATCAAATCATTTCCTTTTCAGGTAGCTGCCTGTGGCACTTACGATGGAATCGTTGCCGTATGGGACTTGGATATCTGCCAATGCATCACTACTGTAAGCTCCAAATCGCTTTTATTGTCATCTTAACATCCATAGCGAGATTTGTAGGTCCCGCAAAGCAAAGGCATCCCAGTATCTTGTCTGACATTTTCATGGAATCAGACATTTCTGCTCAGTGGTAATGTTGTCGGGAACATCAGTGTTTTTGACACTTCTACTGGAGGTCTGCATCGTACGTTTAATGTGAGTTTTAAATTGTTCTCCGATCAGAGTTTTGCATACGGCCATTTTGCACCAGTACAGTATCATACCATACCCTGTTCCAACTTGTAGTTTGGTAGCGACGCTGCGTTAGTAATGCTACGTTGCGAAGCTTTCGTAGATGAAACAGTGCCAATATAGCTAAACGGGTTACGGTAGGTATTACAAAAGGGCCTTCTATGGCATATAGCGTTTGTTCATTTTCTGGTTTCTTTCATTATTTTTTCAGCATTTTACGAATCAGAGTCATAAAATGACGGAATTATAAGACCAAATTTCCTTATATGAAAAGCTTGTTACAGGTGTTCCTTGAAAAAATCCAAAAACCAATTTTTTTCAGCTTCACTCCACTGAAATCATCTCCCTGTTCTGCCTGGAGAATTATCGCGTTTTGAGCTGCGACAAGGAGGGAAAACTCTGCCAATGGGACATTTTCGGAGATGAAGAGAGTCTGGTAGGCTTTCTTCCTTGGACTGTTGCTGTGCGGCCGAAAAGGATTTATTTCTGTTAGATATGACTGATAACATTTTAGGTAATGATGACACCAGGAGTAGTGCCTCCAATATTTGCTCCGCCTACTGGAAAAATTGTCATTTGCCATTGTCAAAAGAATTCGAAAGAGTAAGTCAGCATCCATTCACTACCCCAGTCTGTAAAGAATCTCAGCTATGTTTGTGCATGCTACAGTAGGCTACCGTAATCTGAAAATGGCAAAAGAGACCGAATATTATCAGTTGTTATTCAACTAGACACTATTTTTTCGCTCTTATTGCGTTTCTTGCATGCCACAATTGCAAAGGACCTTTTGTTCCGCTATAGTATGCCACCATGTCACGGTAGCTTATTAGCGATGCATAAAGTTCCTATGCAATTTCTCTATAAAAGGCTAACGACTTTACTGCTAAACAAGTGACTGCTGTATGTTTTTTTAGAATGAAAGTTATGGGCTTGGCGGAAGAAGGCCCGCTGCTCAAGAGCAAACTAACGCATAATGAAGAAATTACCTGCTTTGCAACCACACCGAATGGAACCTTAGTAGCTACAGGTTTGCAAAACAGTTAATTTTCTTGAAAATTTTAAAAATTAATCCGTAGCTTTTTCGCATAAAGTTTTTCCTTATAGGCTCATGTGACCAGTCGTGCAAACTATGGCAAATTGACTCGGGTTTTCTAACGCAGGTTCGAGTACTTAGGCCTATAGCTAACAATCAAAACGTTGAGATTACGGTATCTTTTTAGATTCTCGTGGGACATGAAGGAACGGTGACATGTGTTGCATTATCAGAAGACGAACGGATCGTCATTTCTGGAGCTATAGATAAGAAAGTAGGTATCAAAATATACCAGTCTCACTTTCTTTATTACAAGAATTTTTAGGTAATAGTCTGGAATGTTAGCACTGGTGACATTGCACATTCGCTCGTCTGCTCAGCTGCGCTTACCGCAGTTTCGTTAACATCGGATGGAACGGTGGCATTTTCAGGTTGGGACTCAATTTATCCGCACCTTTCCTTTCCTAATTACCCTTCAAACTTTCAGCTAGTGAAGATGGCTGGTTAGAAGCATGGTCAACTGACAAAGGTGCTCTTTTGTCGTCCTTCAATGCACATAGGCCCATACGACAAGTGCTGAACTCGGTGGATGCGAACAGGTAAATGCACTGATTCTATTTTTTTTTGCTGACTACGTGGGCGCTCATTCAAAAAATTTAAACCTTTTTGTCTCAGAGGCTGTGTCCAGGCAAATCGAGTTACTGGCTTCTTATGTGCCATTGCCAAGCGAGAGCTCATGTGACTCTCCATAGCCGAGAAATTCAACTCTTAACTCTCGCCCGGATCGTATCAAACAGCGTCGTCGAGCACCTCAGAGAGTACGGTTCGGGCGAAATTCTAGAGTTGAATATTCCGGCGGCGAATGGTTCATATGAGCTGCCACTTGTGCACACCTCGCTTGGATTTAACTGATCTTTTTGATTAAGAAATGCCCTAAAAAGCTGAAACTTGTCTTTGTTGCAGATTACTTGTCCAACTGTCTACTTGCGCCCAGCTGCCTATACTTTGTCTTCACAACTCTCCAGCCGGAGCCCATCCTCAGACGCAACGAAGGCGGAGCGCTAGGGCACATTCGATCACAAGTCTTGGCAATGAGACAAGCTCTTCAAGTATGTTCTTTGGCTTTATTAACAATCTTGCCGTCAAGCCTGCTAAATTTGCGGAAAATAAACGCTTTGCTTCCTTTAGCGTCCAGATTTGGGAGATTGGCATCATTAGCACTATTAACGTTCTTACTAAGCATGCATGCGAATTCTAACCAAAGAATGCGCAAAACACATTCTGGGAAACTTGTCTGGGGGCGAAGCGCATGTTTTAGGCGCGAAAGACGAGACAAAAGTTCGTGAACAACCCGCAGCTGCCACAACCTCTACACCTACCACAACGTTGCAAGTTGGCAACGGTCATTCCGTCCATCCCAGGTCTGCCCAACCGCGTCCAACGTTTGACAAATTGGATAGAGGGCAAAGTCGGACCTCTGTGATCGAGAAGGTACAAACTTCCACATTTTTGAAACATTGCTGTCTCTAATTTAGTACTTTTCTTGTTTTCAACTATTTCTTGGAACTTTTTCAATGGCACGAACCTTTTATCCATGCTTTGGTATTCGATTCCAAGAATCTTTTGAAAATAAATATCAAATCAAACAAAAGTCAACTGGCACAGAAATCAGGGATAAAGATTTTTATTTGCACTCTTCATCGGTGGAGTTACGGTAGGTGTACAGTAGCCTGATCAAGGTGACGCAATTGCAAGGAAGATTGCTAAAACGATGATACTGCACAATAATAAAACTACCGTATATTATTTCCACGTACCTGGCGGAAAAGTCTAACCCCATTGTTGACATACCATATTGTACAACATAACATTCTAATGGGAGTTTCAAGCACACCGTGATTTTCACTTCCCTACCGTGCACTTACCGTAATTCCAGTTGATGCAATTTTGCGAAAACTATATATTTCTTAACGAGCAAAGTAATTATTTCTCTAGTCAAGATTCTATGAAGTGCATATAGAATTCATGGCTACTCATTATGTCTAAAAATACGACAGTGAGATAGAAGCTTTCTTCTGAGTATCAACTCTAATTGTGAGAATTCTGCCATATATAAGGATTCATGTTTCAGGATCGAGCTACGACCCTAACCAATGCTCCTTCACCATCATCACAAAAATCGCACTTATGCACTATCGTTTAAAATGCAGGTTCTATATACATATGATTAGCTAATAAAGTTTAAATATACTGGATTTTCTCTGACAAAGAGTGATATTGATATAAATGAGATATTCATAAAAGTCTGAAAAATTTGGCATCTCCAATACCTTCTGCGAGCATTCAACGAATGCATTCTGCTTTGTGATCAAGGAGGCAATTGAATGCCTGTGGGCCTTTATGGTGACACTTGCGGGGTCCGGCCGGTTACCATCAGTGCTATTATCCTCTCAGGTTACTCTGGTAACAATTTACCGGTCCCGGGGTGTGGGGCTTTGTTGGCTTGGGAGCGGGATTGAACCCTGATTCGACTTCATAGTAGCGACGCCTTGCACCACTACGCCACTCATCCCGCCACCTCCTCAGGCCCAGTGGGTGTTTACTCCAACATACAAATTTAGATTTTGGAAAAAAAATAACACTGAACATTAGTTGACTGCTTATTTCGATGTTGGCAAAAACTGCACAAATCATGGTTCTTTTCGAAATCGATAATTTTGTTCTATGAAATTTTCTTGAAAAGGGTGTGACTGTAAATAGATCCATATATAATTTTGTTGGCGTGTGACACTTTTGGGAGATTAGAGAATCATGGCTTTTATCCTCTGCTTTGCTCAGTTTTACTGGTATCATACTGGTCGGTATGTGTATGCTAGTATTTGCTAGTATTGAATGAAGTGGTGCAAAATAGTTTTCACAAGTTTATTTCATAATTTACAATACAAAATCGACAACAAAGTGTCTACCCGTAAACAATGAAGGCTCCAGTCGGAAATACTAATAAATACAATAACATAGGCAAAATAAAAAAGGAGAAAAATAATAGAAGAATTACATGCATAAAAAATAGGATGAGAATTAAGAAGAGGATTTTCACCAGTCCTCATTCAAAGCTTACTATCACAAGATGAGATAAGAGCAAGGAGTGGACTTTACTGCTCGTCGTCGCCAAACCAGGCTTTTTTATCCAGAACAGTCAGCCGTCCTTCACCCATTCGCAGCGCTATACCGCATTTGGACCATTCACTACAGGCGACACCACGGGCCTTTCGTAAAAGGCGCCCGACAGCAGCATCGGCTCGTTCTTGAGAGCATTCCTCGAGTTTTAGCTTGATTTCGCGGCAAGAGTCTCTGAAATTGGGGGATTGCGTTATAAGGATGATCTCAAAAAGTTTGATCGGTGCTTATCTAATAGCCTGATAATCTCGCATTTTATGAATAGACCCACGATTCTCTTGCTCTGTATCATATCTCATACGATTTTTTTTGAATAATGTTGAATGAATTTTTTCCGAAGAACCTTCTAGGTTTAAGCTTCAGTGTTGCAAGCCCTTTTGCACCAATGTACAGTAATCATCGTAACCGGCGCTCCCTTTTGTCGACCAGGTTGACATAGCACCTTTTTGAGGCATAAAGTCCTCAAATTCTAAGGAGTCAGTATCAAAAGCAATCGCAGCGCGACGTATTTGCATTCTTTTTCTGCCGTGCGGCTACAGTAACATCTTAGGGGTGCAAAAGGGCCACCCTACATAAATATTACTTGCAAAATTTTGTCACGCCGTAACCTTTGTTCCGGCCCGTTGTTTCTAAATCTTCCCCTCAAAAATAAAAGATGTGTCGCGGAAATCCCACAGCGGAAACTGCCATAAACCGTGCATCAGTACACTATAATCTGTACCAGTTGTCCAAGCAGGTGTAGCTGACTGCGACATACTCTACACTGTAAAATTTCCAATCGAAAATGACCAGACGCTCTTATCAGTTATTCTAGGTCTTTTTTCTTTCGTAGTCAATTAGATGCTGCAATAATCAATATATCGATTGATTTTGCATAGGTGACTCATCGTGGTGGATACTCGTACAGAATTAGTAATACTGCTTAAAGGCTCAAAGTTCTTCGGAAACATAAAAGAAAGTTTACCTCGCCAGCTGAATCCAGTATCCGATAACTTTTGCGGTGTCAGTGACAGTGCCATGACAAATATGAATCACTTCTAGGATGCCACTTTCTGGCATTGTCGTTAGAGCACGCAGTAAGTTAGATCGTTCCGTGTTGTCCTCTATTGACAATGTTGAATCAACCTAGAATTGCTTTTTAATCTTAGTATGAACCGAAAATTTATTTTTTGATGATCCCTTACCTGAATAAGTAGATTCTCAAGTTTCTCTACCATCGCCTTAGCTTCTTTGACAGAATACATTGAAGGCTTAATTTGTTCTCCTACAACAGCCAACTCTATCAAACGGCCACCGCTGCTGATGCGGAAGAGATCTTCAGGCTGGAGACCATAGATTCCAGTCAGGATCAGCGATCTGAAAAATTGGGGTTTAAGACCGTTTGGGTAGTACTGTATAAGGATTAATCCATACGGGTTCCGTAACCATTACTCACTCTAGCGGTTTCTTATCCAATGCTTCGATCAAGTGCGATCGGCTCCACTTATCCAGGCGACACGGTTCGTACTGTAGGCGTGCGAGGGACTGGCATTGGGATATAGCAGACCACAGTTGAACTGTTTGGGGTTGGGAATGGAGTCGACAGTGACGAAATCGAAGGCAGTTGATAGTTCGGCGAGAAAGCAGGATGAGTGAGGACATCTGAAATCGAAACATTCAACATTATTACGAAAATGTGCGAAAGTAGAGGCGGATTTCGCCACAGTAATCCTACAGTAATCGGTAGCAGTATGAAATGTAGCTTTTCGTTGAGTCTTTACTTTCCAAATTTGTTTTTTGGCATACTGTAAACATGCAAGAAATGGAAAACCTCGGGAAATCCTTTCCCACTCTCAAGCCTCACGTCATGTCGCAAAAATTTTTCTGTTAGTTTCTAACCAAAACAAAATTTCGTTCTCGACATTAAGACTAGATTCAGCTTTTCCTAAGCCACAACCCTCTTTTAATAGCCACGTCTGCTCGAAAAAAAGTTCTTTCCCCTGCTGTCATTTAAGGTGACAATTTGATACAGTAATCCTACAGTATTCAGCTTTGTAAGATCAAGTGAAATGATGTTTAACTCACCCAATCAGCATCACTGGCTCTGATGCTTCCAACTACAGTAAGTTGCTCGAGGTGAAACCTACAAATTAATTATTTAGCAAGAAAAAAAACTGAAGAATTATTTGCAGTTTCTCTAATATTTACATACCTCAATCTTTTATTGCCACAGTTTATTGCCTGATAATATTCTACGATAGTTTGCATGATATGTCCGTTCCAAGCAGAATCCAGCCACAAGTGGGTTACTCCAGTGATGCGAGATACTGCAAAAAGATTACTGTAACGGTACGGTTCCGCAATTTTGCGCAGTTTGACTTACTGATTGCTGTGAGCACCATTCTAGCGTTGGTGTAGTTGAATGCGATAGCGCCATTGATAACTTTGAAGCCTTGCATATCAGCCAGCACATAGTCTGGAATCAATCGATTACTGATTGTATCGATATTTGGAGATGTCCCTAACATTCGGAAGGTAGACTCCCTTTGAAACGTTTGAAAGTGCCCTGCGCAAAGGTTACTGTATTCAAAGGTAGAAATTCCAAAATGGAGAGTGAAATTTTCTATCTGCACTCAATGGGCGCTCAATTCTTTTCAAAAGTCGATAGATTTACGATAGGAGAAAGTTTTGTACTGCTTTTTTGGACTTTGTTCATCTTTCATGCCCGCTTCACTTTTTCTTATTTTCTACTTGGCCCAACTTTTGGAGAGTCGAAATTTTTTTTCTAAAAAATCTTACCTATAAGTACATCCATGTAATTGCAATGCAGCTCGATATTTCCTCGAGCATCAGATCGTATAAATATAAATGGCAGAATCAACGGCATTCGATCCACTATGTCATGAACTCGTCGTGACAGCTAAAATTACATAATCCTCATTACCGTATACGGTAACACAGTTTCGTATACACCATAGCCAAAAAAACCGACTCACCACTCTCATTCGAACTCGTTCATTGAGATCCAATCTTTTCAAAATTTCTTCCATAGCTGCGTCATCGAGCGTAACAACATGTGGTACATGAGGCTTTGGCACTTTCTTTATCAAACTTTTCAGCTTATGTCGGCACTCCGCAAATTTCCTTTTGGCATTGCGCCAAAGCATTCGAGATCGATTCATAGTTTCTGAAAGTCAGAAAGATTGAATGTGCTCATGTCATGTAGTGAAGGTGAGCCGTGATTTAAGTAATGCAGATGGGAGACGAACGATTATGAAAATAAGATTACATGAGTCTGATATTTGAAAGATGATGTGAGGGTGAGAATTGTAAAATGGAGTCGCGAGAGCTTTTGAAAATTTAGCCATGAAAAATCCTAAATATCTCATATGTGATAGAGGAAGCTTCGAGCTACTTTTCCATAAAAAAAATCATGGATAGAAAGCAACAACTGTTTTTATGAAGATTTGCATGCCCAAACCAACTCACTTTTTAGTCAACCTAATATTAGATGACCCCTATCAGTTACATAGAAAGTTTAACTATCGAAATCTGAGACAGGTGATAACGAACTTCATTTATTTACACATGCAAATGGGAGCTACGGATCTCTGATATATTCCAAAATAGCATAAAAAAGTAAAAACGACCACAAAACATGTGTGATATCGCCAGAACAACTCGACGTAGGTGAGTGTCAGAAAAGCTTATAAGAGTCACATGTCTTAATTAAAAGAAATAAATAGCTATTGTCACAGTTGTGACCTAGTCAGATTTATTGATCGTTTTGTACTAAAGTACGTAAAATGACTTTTGCTCCGTTCAATAGCAGAGCTTTTGATTCGAGTGCAGCCAGCATATTTTGTCCGTAACTCTCATAAAGGTGCTCTAGCAGATAAGAAGTCTGTTCAAACAGAAGAGTGCAAATGGAAAGGTATGAAAATCGTAAATAACTCCACTTTGACCTTGAACCCGCCACCATGAAGATGCCAATCACATTAAAGTTCCAAAATAAACAATAACTGATCAAAATCAGTGTGACCCCAATAGGATGCCCGTCAAGAAATGTAGGACAGTGAATTTTGAGCGCTACGAAGTTCGTCCTTATATAGTCCGTCGCCCTCGGGGTCCCGAGAAAAGACTCCTTTCCCAGACTGGCACTTGATTCGACTTGCCATTGGGAAGACTTACGATGCCGACGGTGGTGGGAGTGCGGTGGCAACATGGGAAAGGTTAGGGTTCTCGGAGTAAGGGGTACGGTAACTAGGATGACCTTATATCGCGGTGCCATCATTGCACTTCAAAAGAGTTAGGGGTGGCGCTGAGCTGAGCTGAGAGAAGGGGTGGGGCTTTTAGTTTTTTTGGTGGGTAGGGGGGGGAACTGAAGGGGCGGGGAGTAATAAAAGCTTGATGACAAAAAACTAAATGGCTATATAATTCCCATTTCCAAGCATTATGGTTACAGTATCCTAAAGTTTCGAAACTTCCGAAACATATTTAAATTTTTAGTAGATAAACAAATACAATTTTTTCAAGCATTGAAGTCTGTGACTGGGAAAATATGAAAGCAATAATGTACACAGAGATCAGAATTGACTAAAGTTAGAAAAATAAAAAGAATCACAGCACATTTGTAAAATTATTAGATTTCATAAGCTTTTCACCAAAAAATGCTAAATGTGCATCTAAAATTATTTGAAAAAACATTTCAACCCATATTTTTTTTGTGACCTACAACAAATACTTTATTTTACTATGTATTTTCGAGATTTTTTTAAAACAAAATCTAAATGTTGAGGTAAAAAACTCGAAAATCATAATTATTATTAGAAATATCCAATCACTACAAATTTCCTTCAGCTGATAAGTGCAAGCTGTAAGAAAAAAATGTAATCAGATTTTTCAAACCTTCTAGCACTGGGGATCAAAATTCAAGAAATCACGATTTCGCGTCCCTATAAATCAGCTTGTATCATATATACCATAGATCTTAGCTTCAAGCACTATCAGAAAGTTCATGATTTTTTCTACTAAAGTACATTGGTCAGCGAATCCGAAATTAAAAATAATTTTGAAGCTTTCGAAAAATTTTGGCTCAAAATTTATAGATGAAGGTAATATATTTCTTTAGTAAATTACTATGCAAATAATATTCTCAATTTTTTGCGGCCAGATTTGAAATCACAAATTCTATCCCACTTTGCCTTTCTCCCCCTCCCCTGTCTCCTTTACCTACAATCATTCCCTTTGTTCATCTTTTAAAACGACATCGCGGTCCCCCTTCACAACTCATCAAAATGATTTCACGAGCATAAACACTGCGATTAGATCGCACCTCACAATCGCGACATCACTCAATAAGGCGATAATCGCCCAGTGGCAAGTCGCACCTACCCGAAAAATCTTTGTTAGAATGTTATTCTTGCTTTATGTGAGTCCAGTGGGATAACGAGCCAAACAAAAGACAATGCTATGAATTTAGCCGATAAATAATTACAGAAAACGCTATGTCAATCGCGGCTAAGAGCAGGAAATTGCAGAAGGCTGTGGTTTCGATAAGACGAGAAGATTGATGCACCCCCTGACATGAAGGCTTTCATTAACTGGACATGCCGAACCGAATGTCAAGCTTGGATAGAAGGAATTCTGGTAAAAACACACTTTTCCCATGAAAGAGAGATCCTCGAGGTACTGTAACCCGATATTGCTTAAATATGGGGGCATTTGCTGTAATATGAGACTATTAGAGCTAAATACTATTAGGGATTCTCTAACAGGAGAAGCAGTGGGCGGAAATGCAATAGAAGAAAGCAGGAATGCAGAATTTGGTGACTTTGACATAAAAGGAAAATTAGGAAAAAGGAAACAACAACGAAGGGGACGAGGAGAAGGTGAACTAGTTTTTACGTAAAAATCACTGATATGGTATTCAAAGCAAAAGGAAAGGGGGGAACAGGGAAAGATATCAAAATTTCTTATCAAGCACAGGGAGGGGTGGGAGAGGGGTAGGAACAAGAAATTTTGTACCCGTACATTTTGTTACCTATTCATGATTTTGTAGCTGGAAGTAGGGGGGGGGGGGAGAAGGCGGGGGAGTAAGATATTTTGTACCCATACCTTTTGTATGAAATCGACATTCAAAAATAATCATGATATTATGGTTGGTTGGGGGGCGGTTTTTAGGTGAATGCAAAATTTAGTTCTTAAATAATACACTAAATTTGGAAAAGGAATGTATGAATGTATGACATATACTTTCAAGGATAGAAGGTTGAAAGGTGATTGAAGTAGCATGGCAAAAAAAAAACAAAAATGAAATTAGAACTAAAATTTAAATTAGTGATTAAAGAAGCAACTCGTCATGATTAGAATAGTTATAAATGTTCAAGATAGTAGTAATGTTGAGCTGGAAAAATATTGATAGACAGCACCTGAGAGGGGAAGGAGGGGGGGGGGGTAAAAGTCTTTTAAAAATTACGGATAATCGCCCAGTCAATTTCCTGCGAGAATTGAGAAACATTAAAAAGACTTTTTATTTTTTGATGCTTTCAAAGAATCACCTGTCTCATCAAGGGTTTTCACCTATTCGCAGAACTATTTTTTTCACAAAAATTATGACATTACGAAATGCAGGCAGTGGTTACTGACGAGAGCGGGGTGTGCTTTTGTAAACATATACATATGAGATTAGTCTGGAATGAATAGCAGCGTCGTTGTAGCCGTTCATGTCTATTCTAGGGAATAACATTCCCACAAGTGCATATCAATTAACCCTAAGAAGTCCGAGGGAGTGCGGATAATTGCTATCGCGCTAAAGCGCATTTCCGCTTGAGCTGTTCCGCTAAGGTTAAGGAGTTTTGAATACGATAACTTTGGCTGGCAGTGTTGACCTCGAGAGTTATGAAAAAACGCAGCACAAACAGCAATGGGAGCAGTCCCGAGACAATAGCGCTTCCCAGACCGGAAGAATTTCTCGCAAAGCATAAGACCTCCACGCTCTCAAGCCTACGTTTCGGTTTTTTCTCACTCCGATGTTGCGCAAGGATTCAAACCTTGTTGTCTTCGTCCCCCATGTGTGTATGAAGGACAATGACAATTTGTATTCTCACGAACTTGGCAACATGACGGAGGCCAGGCGGGAACGGCGACGACGAGATGGGGCCCCTGATGATAAATGACGACATTGACAAGGATCCGGCAGCCGCAAAGGTGGTCATAAGGATTTGTCTATGAAGCCAGATGACATGAAAACACTAGATAAATGGGTGGTTTTTGAAAAACATACTTCAACTGAAAGAAGAGTTTGAATCCAACGAAATCGTGTGCAGCAGAGAAAGGCAGGGATGGTAAGAGAACTTTCCATATATGATCTCAGATATTCATATGAATTTTGAGTTACTAGAGGAATTTGCACCTGTGTTTTCTCAAAAGACTAACAAACATTGCAGGAGGCATACAAACAACGTTATACGAATAGCTGAGCCCTCCAAAAGAAATATAAGTAAAAGTAGGACCTCCTTTTTTGGCTTGAAAAGCTCGTAAAGACAACTTACATAGCTTATTCAACCTCTCTCTGGTTTGACTACCAATTATTACAGAGGTTTACTGTCACTTTCAGTCTTTAATTTCCAGAAGAAATATTCTCAATTTATTCTTCACAAATTTTTGGAAGTCACCTTTCAGGGACTGAGTAGCGGGGACAAAAAAAATTGGGTCAAGAATGAGTTTTGAAATTTGAAGGCGTTATAACTTCTAAAATTTTATTTGATTAATTATTTGCTAAAGTAATTTGTTCTAATTGAAAACAATTATGTAGAATTTCACAAAATTCATAGAAATTCAAGTTATTCGCAACAAACCTTTTTCCATGGAGTGAATACTGGCGAACGCTTCGTTCCAGTTTAGGTCGTAAGCTTGTACTAGGAACCCTCCCAGGAATTTTTACGAAGGTGTAGGTGAAGCTAGGCTCCTGGTTACGCTAATATTATGACTAAAAGTGAAATGAATGTCATCCAAGTTTAGGTGGACTTCGCTCACTAATTAGTAGGCTAAGTATCGTCCTTTAGTAAGCCACCCATGAAATATGGTCTTCTTCAACATTCTGAGCGGATTACAAATCTAATAAAATGCTCGTTTCAGATTAATGATTGGACGGACAGAGCAAAAATACAAAGCTGACGTT